AGTCTGTACCGGCTACTGTGTACTATCTACTTATCCTTAAGTAAGTATGTATTCGTTGTAAAAGCATTCCTATATGGTAACTAGTCTTTCCCCGCGAGTCCGCTCGCATGACCTCCATATATAGATTTGTCAGATTTAGCTCTCCACACGGTATTTTTTTTATAGAAATTAATTTCTTCATAAAGAGGTTCAGGTGAATAATATATAATACTGTCATTAAAAAAAACGTCATTCAAGTTTCTTGCCAGTTCTCAATTGGATCTATATACTGAACTGGACGGTAGGGGAAAATCAAAATTATAATATTAAAAATTTTACATTCATAAGCGGCTAAAATGTCCTACATGAATAAACGATTTTTGAATTTGAATTTGAGTCTTGGGGGAATGTCAAATTCAAGAAGAAATATTCGTCAGCTTCTTACCTGGTAGAAGCAGTAACCATTTGCTCTTAAGCGAATGGTTCTCCATGTTGGATTTTCCTGACGTTAAAAAAAGGCATATATATGTATATATATATTACCTATCTCCCTTTTTACAGGAGACATTCAAACACACGGGCCGTAGCCAAGCATGGATGAGTTTAAAAGTTATATGAAAATGGTAAAGACGACAGAAATTTCCGTATTCCAATACAGCATGTGTTGAGAATTTATTATTATTATTATTAATAATAATCTCAGAACAATTGAAACATCGCCTTCTAGACCCAAGTTAAGCTAGCTAAAGCTTGTGTTATGAGTACTAGATAACTGATACATATACATAGTTTCTTTTAAATACATACATATTATACATAGAAAACACCCTGACCGATACAAACAATCATACTCATGAATACAAATGTTTGTGCCGTGCGAGGAATCGAACCCGCGACCATCGGTCGTAAAGCGGTGTGCTAGACCGCTAGACCACGAGGTCAAATAAGACAATAACAGATATACGAAATAAGTGTATATATCTCTGTATCTGTATATTATAAGTTACTAACATAGTTTTATAACTTGTTTACTAATACAATATGGATGTAATCCGAATTAAATAAATAAATAAAAACATATATATATATATATATAATATATAATTTAGACGACCTCGGTGGTCTAGCGGTCAAGCACACCGCTTTACGTCCGATGGTCGCGGGTTCGATTCCTCGCACGGCACAAACATTTGTATTCATGAGTATGATTGTTTGTATCGGTCTGGGTGTTTTCTATGTATAATATGTATGTATTTACAAAAAAAAAATATCTATGTATATGTATCAGTTATCTAGTACCCATAACACAAGTTCTAGCTAGCTTAACTTGGGTCTAGATGGCGCTGTGTGAATTGTCCTGAGATTATTACTATTACTATTAATAACAACATTGTAATGCCCTCGGTGTAAATGTGCCTTTCAAAGGTGTGTCTAAGGTTACAATCAATAGTGAACAATTTAAAAATAACACTGTCTGCTCTGTTATTGTGGTATGAAAGAATCTATATTAATAATTTCGTCAAAGAGTACGGTAGACTAGAACGAAACCTTATGTGAATAACAAAACATAAAAAAATATTGATTTCGAATCGACTACATATATCCGCAAAATTCGGATTATGGAGTCTTTCGTTAAATTCTAATTACACTGACACAGACGCCATCTTTTCATAACACTAGCTGACAACCAATCAACACATTGCGTTCGCGCCAATAAGGAATCCATCCATCACAAAGAATGTGACTGCGTAATACGAAACGACTTGCCGGAAACATCGAGTGAATCATAACAAAATTAAATACTCTCATATTCCTTGAGAACTGATGACTACAGAAATATCTACCCACATTTCACACGAGCGAAGCCGGGTTTTCATCTAATGTTTTTATATTTACCTACCACCTGCCTACCAATAAAAACTTTATGCGTGGGAATCACTGTCTCACCATGTACAACATTTATTTAAAAAAAATGCGAGTTAGCTGAATTTCTTGTCAGTTCTTTTCATCTCGAAATCATTCCGAACTGTCGGTAGATTTGACATATCATAAGAGTCTGTAATAGACCTACATGAATAAAGATATTTTGAATTTGGAATTTTGACCTATTACTGCCAAGTATATAAAATTTGTTTCAATTAAAGGGTAAATTTTATTATAGCAAGACACATTTTTTTTTGTTTCGGACTAGTCTAATGCTGTTGGCCGCAGCTGGCCTTTACAGCTTCACCGGACGATAGGGGGCGAGTGCAGATGGCACTCCAAACCCGTGGAAGGAATTATGGAGCGGCTGAAGGCCAACTCCCGCCTGACGGATACGACTTTCGTCTGAGGGCACCACTAGGGGTTCAAACCTCGGCTCAGGCCTTTGTATCATCAATTCCCGTTGAATTGGACGGGGGATCGATCAGAGGGGCACGAAACTTTACAGTAACATAGCTTATATTATTATATCAAAATAACTTGTATGCTATAAACATTTGAGTGAAACTGCGTACACAGTTAGTAATAATATATATCTCAGGACAATTCACACAGCACCATACAGTCTGACTGACTAATCTAAGGGCACTGCTAAGGGTTTGAGTTCTAACCTGGGCTCGGGTTCGAACCTGGGCTCAGGCCGTCGTAATTTCGATCCCCTTTGAATTGGACGGGGGATCGATCGGAGGAGCAGAGATATCGGATGGTAAGTGACTACCTCCGCCCATGAGCACCAGCCAAACTAGGGGTATTGCAATTGAATTGCCGGGTTTTTAAGAATTAGGAAATTGAGTTATCTTATATATAAAATTCTCGTGTCACAGTTTTCGTTCCCATACTCCTCCGTAACGGCTTGACCGATTCTCATGAAATTTTGTGAGCGTATTGAGTAGGTCTGAGAAACGGCCAACATCTATTTTTCATCCCCCTAAATGTTAGGGGTAGTCCACCCCTAATTTTTTTTTTTATTTTAAGGCAAAACAACGTTTGCCGGGACAGCTAGTAGTATATAGACATGATATCTCTAGTCCTCTGAAATAATAATAATATCTCAGGACAATTCACGAAGCGCCATCTAGTCGCAAGATAAGCAGAGCTTGTGTTGTGGGTACTAGACCAATTTATACCAATTTATAGACATACTTAGCAACTTTAAATACCTATAGCCTCGGTGGTGTAGCGAGTTAGACACCTTACTTTCGATTGTCGCTGGTTTGATTCCTCAGACAGTACAAACCTTTATGTATTCATGAGTTTATTGTGTATATTTGATTAGATGTTTTCTATATATATATTATATGTGTATTCATAAAAAAAAATGTGTTTATATTACCTGTTTACCTTTGGACTTGATGGCGCTGTATAAATTGTCCTAGATTAATATTATTATATATGTATATTATATTTTTTAAAATAAGACCTTAAGACTAGTTATGTCAAAATAACCTTACTGCTATAACTGTATTTCTCATATAAAAGTTCAAAGTTTCTAGAGAGAAAATTATATATTTTTCCATATTATATGTACCTACCACTTATAATTGCAGACGCAAATTATTGCATACCGTAATTATTAATCATGTTTATATTTATGACAAGCTGTCAGTGTATATTAACTTATTTATGTAACGCTTACCATGACATGAGGACATATATGGTTAAGTGAGCGACATTTCGGTTTAATCACAAAGAATTAAAGAAACTTATAACATTTAATTGTACAAGTGCCAAGTAAAAAATTCAAACGTGGAAGAAAGGAACAATCCCCTATTATTTTGGCAATAAAACTAAAGAAAACGACGATTCATGTTCTGATATTCATTCAAAAAAACTGAAACACAAAAAGGGAACAATTCCTTACTACTTCCCAGTTGTAAATCCGACAACATTTTTTCGAGGCTAAACATGAAACAGAGATATATATGAATATTCTTCATCAAAATATTGCTAGTTTTTTTTCTAAAAGAGAATTATTAGAAATAACGTTACACGACCTACAAGACACGTGCAATGAACCGGATATTATATGTTTAACAGAAACATTTTTAAAAAAGGGAAACGATAATTATCTAAAACTTCATAACTACAATATGGTTACTAATTTCTGTAGAGATAGGCAAAGAGGTGGGACTTGTATTCTGGCTAAGGAGAGGTTATTATGTAAAGAATTGCCATTTATAAAAGAGCATTCAGTACAAAAAATCTTCGAATGCTGTGGCATGGAAATCTTACCAAATAAAATTATTGTAATCTGTCTTTACAGGACACCTTTATCTAACCCCTGTACATTTTTAAATAAACTTGATTGCTTACTACATCAAATATCAAAAAAATATAACGGGAAGCTAAAAATTGTTGTGGCAGGGGACTTTAATATAAATACATTAAAACATGGAACAGCATCAAATTACCTAAAAGATCTAGCTCAAAATTACAATCTGAAACTTCATATTAATGAGCCTACTAGAAAAGATTCCTGTATAGATCATGTACTAAGTAATATAGAAAGTGCAACTGCAAAAGTGCTACCACTTCACTTATCTGACCACGAAACTGCCCAATTGTTAAGCTTTCCGGTTGGGGTCAAGCCTCTGAAACCTGCATCTTATTACATTTATAAAAGAGACTATAGAGAAGAAAATATTCTGAAATTTCGTGAGTGTCTGAAAAATCTTTCCTGGTCTGATATTTACGTAGAATCCAACTTAAATGTAGCGTTTCATAGATTTCATGAATCGATAAGGGAATTTTATAAATTGTGTTTCCCAAAATTAAAAATTAAAATTAATACATTTAATAAGCTAAAGATCAGTTGGATTAGTAAAGGCATAAGGCTTAGCAGTAGGGTAAAAAGATCACTGAGATATAAATATTACAAAGATAAGACTTTAGAAAATAAAACTAAGTATAAAACATACTCCAATGTATTAAAAAAATGTATATATAATCTCAAAAGAAACGCAAACATTAAATTCATTAACAGGAGTAAAAATAAATGCAAAGCATCTTGGACTATTATAACAAATGAAATCCACAACATGACATGTGATAATAATATAAATATTTTAAAGACTAGTAATAAAGTATTGACAAAACCTACAGACATAGCCACAGCTTTCAACAACCATTTTATTGACATAACAAATGGATACAAAGAGGAATATTATAAAATGAACTCTAAACGAACTGTGAGTCACTCAATGTTTCTAAAACCAGTTTCACAGAACGAAGTGAAAAGACAGGTTTTATCATTAAATAATACAAATTCTGAAGGATATGATGAAATATGTACAAAAATAATAAAAGACAGCATCGACGAGATAATAGATGTTTTAACTCACCTAATTAATTTATCTTTCTCAAGCGGAACGTTCCCTGAGCTTTTAAAAGCATCCATAGTAAAACCCCTTTATAAGAAAGGTAATAAAGATGATATGGCAAATTATCGTCCAATCACATTAATACCAATTTTCTCAAAGATCTTTGAAAAATGCATGTTGACGCGATTAATGGATTTCTGTAACAAATATGAAATAATTTCAAAAGACCAATATGGGTTCCAAAAAAATAAGTCGACAACACTTGCCTCATTTTCTCTCATAAAAACAATTTTGACAAATATAAACGACAAAAAATACACTACAGCTGTATTTTTCGATCTTTCAAAAGCTTTCGATTGTGTATCCCACAAAGTATTGTTGAATAAACTGGTAAACGTTGGAATAAGAGGCCTTGTCCTGGATTGGATAGCTTCTTATCTTAACAATAGAAAACAATGTGTAACAATCACAAAATTGGATAAATATAATATTGTCACACCTTATTCTTCTGGATACAGATCAAATAAATATGGAGTTCCACAAGGAAGTATATTGGGGCCCATACTATTCTTACTGTATATTAATGATTTAATTGAAATAACTACAAATAAATGCATTGTCTTTGCAGATGACATTTCTATTATAGTAACTACTGATAAAAAATATAAAACATTGAAAGACCACGAAATTGATATAAATGAAACTATAACCCTAATAATTAAATGGCTTGACATGAATAATTTGACAATAAATGTAAATAAAACTAATTATATTAATTTTAATAAATTGAAAAATGAAATCTGTCATCTTAATGTTAACTACAGAAATATACAAATTGAATCAGTTAATGAAACAAAATTTTTGGGTATAATGATAGATCAACAACTTAATTGGACAAAACAAATCGAAAATATTAGTAACAAAATTAATAAGTTTATATATGCAATGAAGCGTGTTAAAAACATAACGAACAGAAAGACTGCACTTACTGCATATCATGCATACGTGGAATCTGTACTGCGTTATGGACTATTAATATGGGGAAATGGTACAAATATTAATAGGGCATTCATTGCTCAAAAAAAGTGTATTAGAGCATTGTGTGGTCTTGCACCGTACGAGTCATGTCGAACACGTTTCAGAGAACTTGGACTACTGACACTTCCATCGCTTTATATATATGAGGTAGCTGTTTTTGTAAAACAAAATTTAAATTCATTTACGAAAGCAAAGGACATTTATCCAAGAAATACCAGAAATCCTAATAGATTGGTACTTGCTAAAACCCATACAATGACACAGTACACAAAAAACTGTGAAAATATGTGTATAAGAATTTATAATTGCATTCCTGAGACATTAAAGACGAATAAGAAAATATTATTTAAGAAGACATTACGAGAATGGTTAAAAAATAAGGAATTTTACAGTTTAAACAATTTTTTTGACAATGTATAAATACCGACTAGAGAGAACCTATTTAACTATTATTATAATTATTATTATTATTTCTTTCTGTATAGTTAATTATGCATAATTTTAAACAATACTATTTTGCATGCCATTACTATGGCAAAACACATGATACTAAGTTTTAATTACCATCTTTTATACTGTGTTTTTTAAGCAAATAAATTATTATTATTATTATTATTATTATTATTATTAATTTAAACAACTTTGAAAGCATAAACTCTATATTTACAGCATCATAGATAAGATCATCTTAAACTTAGTATCAGTTTAAACATTTTTTATCAGTGATAAACTCTTTTGATATTAATATATTTAAAGTTTTCTAATAATTTGTTTTTTTTTAATAATAATCTCCATTCGTAAATATACACTGTCAATATTGCAAAAGAACATTAAAAAAGTGCTATAAAATTGAATTAATATTTGAATAAAGATTATTTCTATTGAATTATAAAATGATTGTAATTCTCTGTCTACGCAGTCACAATGACGAGTCGATATTAATATAGAGCAAGAGCCCACGACAGACAGACATACGTTTTATTAGTAAATGTGAAAGTTATGGTATGTGCAGCGCAAGTTATAATACTGTTACGAACAATATATGAAAAAAATTAGTTTCATGAAGTAACGAATTTGATATGAAAATTTTTACACCTTTGTTACCTGGTACCTGCTAAAGGAACCACGATCCAGGTTTCATGTGTGAAGATCGTTCTTACCTGTGTTTGGGAATAAAGGAACTTTCATATTTATACATATAAATAAAATTGGAGTGTCTGTTTGTAATATTGCAATAACCGTTTTTTACTACATGCATATGAATATAAATACGGTATATACACCAAAATATTTTTTTCACAACTTTTGACTGTCTGTCTGTTTGTTCCGGCTAATCTCTGAAATGGCTGGACCGATTTTGACGGAACTTTTTTTGGCAGATAGCCAATGTAATAAGGAGTAACTTAGGCTATAAAGTTAAATTCCACGCGGACGAAGTCGGGTACAGCTAGTTTACTAATCATATGGCCGTCATAGGCTCTTGGGCTAATAGGTCAACGAACGGAGAGCTGCCTACCTACTCACCCGTCCTATATAAAGGGGCAATTCCTAACTTGCTCCAAAGCATCGACTTCTAAACTTTCAGTATCAATAGCTTCCGAAGCTCAAGAGATCGCTTGTTCGTTCCGTCTTTTGTTTTTCTTTACTTTATCATCTCCGAAAGTAATACAGGACCAATGAAGGAAGAATATTAATTTTATGAGACTACCCTCTGTATTTGTGTATATTGAAGATGAATCATTATTGTATAGGGCAAAGGTTGTGCCAATGACAGACTAATGTAAGTACTTTAAAGTAGAGATGAAACGGATATCCGGTAACTATCCGGTATCCGGCCGAATACCGGATAACTAATATCTGGCCGAATGAAAAAAAATCTGTGTAAAATAAATATTTTTTAAAGTAATTATTTGCTTTATTTAGTTAGTCTTAGTATTACTTAAGGCATAAAATTAGTTTTCTTTTAAATTTTTAATCACTCAAACTCTCAAATCAGTCCGCGTGGAATTTATTGTTATAATTTTTTTCTAAAATAAAAATAAAATCTAAAATAAAAGTTAAGTCACTCCTTATTACATCAGCTACCTGCCAAAAAAAGTCCCGTCAAAATACGTCCAGCCATTTAAGAGATTAGCTGGAACAAACAGACCGACAGACAGTCAAAAATTATAAAAAATGTTATTTTGGTGCCAAGTTACTCCTTATTACATCAGCTACCTGCCAAAAAAAGTCCCGTCAAAATACGTCCAGCCATTTAAGAGATTAGCTGGAACAAACAGACCGACAGACAGACAGACAAAATGTTATTTAGAAAATAAAAATTGTTATTTAAGTATATGTACCGTATATATATTCATATGCATGTAGTAAAAAACGGTTATTTCAATATTACAAACAGACACTCCAATTTTATTTATATGTATATGTATAGATACTATAAACCCAACTTTCAACTCTAAAGACCCTGACTATAGATAACATTTGAAAGTTCAAATGTTATCTACTAGGTTTTTTCTGTTTGTGAAGGGGCTTTAGGATTATCTATTTTACTGTCTATAATTCGGACTCATGGTAATGATTATTTTCAAAGATTTAATTTATTATAATATGATTAAATTTATTTTAATAATTATTTTTATAATTCCTTTATGTTTTAAGTTAAGAATATTTTGATTGGTTCAGTCTTTAATATTATTAATGATATTTTTATTTATAAATTTAAGATTAAGAGTTTTTTATAATACAAATATTAGATATATATTTTCTTTAGATATTGTATCTTTTGGATTAATTTTATTAAGAATTTGAATTTGTATTTTAATATTGATGCCAGCTTTAAAGCCTCTGTCAAATCCCATTTTATATCCCTTTAATTAATTTCTTATTATTCTCCTTATCTCTTCTCTCCAAATGTATGTGTGTCTCTTATATATCTCTTCTTTCCGAATGTATGTGCACTATTAAGTATATGTATGTGTATGTATATATGTATTAATGTGTGTGTATGTTTATATTTATGTATATTTGAGTCATATATATTTATTTTTGTTTATTACGTGCGCCACCTACCCTGTTCTTATTTTTATTTCTCTATCCACCCAAAGGTAGTCTGGAAGAGATTGCTTAGCGATAAGACCGCCTTTTGTATCAGTGTATATTTTCCATTTTAATTGTTTTTTTTTTTTGTTTTTGTTCTGTAATTGGTGCAATAAAGAGTATAAATAAATAAAAAAATAAATAAATAAATTGATGGCTCATTATGTAAGTACCTTTTCAAGGTAAATTAAGTAATTTACCTTGAAAAGGTACCTACATAATGAGCTCGGTTTGACGAGAGAGGCCATTATAAAATTGACACTTCCTACATGCTGTAAGTTCAATTCCGATGTGCACAGTCGTTCCTCTTCCTTATATGTTGTGATTTTTTTACATAATTAATTAATCTTCATACATAATATGATTCATGATAAATTGAAATGGTTTTAAGTGTTGAAACAACTGATATTGAAAGATATTTTAAATTCATCCTTACTAATATTATATAGTACAAATACGGTTTGTTACACTTTCACGCGAAAACTACTAAACCGATCTTCGTGAAATTTTCTACGCATGTTCTTGGAGATATTAGAATGAACATAGGATACTTTTTATTAAAAAAAAACACTTTGCTACTTCAGCGGCATCTACCAGTAATGAAGTTACGTGAGCGAAGTCATGAAAAAAAGCTAGTTGTAAATATTTGTTTAACATCTAACAACAATAAATTAAAGAATTTATTTAAACCAAAAACAAAGCTATAACAATAACATGTTAAACGTAAACAACTATATTAGTTTATAAAAACTGTTTTGCAGTTATGTGCGCCCATCTCCAGGGATTTGTATACAATTAATAAAAAAATGTAAAATAAACGAAAATAACTACTAAAGAACATTTGGAGAAAGACAATCTATATAAAATAAAACAAATGATACTTATAACTTATGAGCAATGAAAATGAACACTATGTATGTAAATGTGTCTCTGTTTGTTGCCATTTTACCACTAAACTGATTTTAATAAGAAACGTAAAGGCCCTTTATATCAGAAAAGCATGTAAATTCTCAGGTTACAATTCTGATTTTTATAAATAACTAGCTTTTGCCCGCGGCTTCGCTCGCGTTAAGAAGTATTATTATTAGGTATAGTTTTTGCGGCGTTACAGTACTTTCATACAAACTTTCATCACCTATTTTATCCCCTTAGGGGTGGAATTTATCAAAATCCTTTCTTAGGGGATGCCTACGTCATAGTAGCTTTATGTGTGCAAAGTCTCAGCCCGATCGGTTTAAAATTGACAAAGTTTCATATAAACTTCCATCCCCTATTTTATTCCCTTGGGGGTAGAATTAATCAAAATTCTTTCTTAGCTGATGCCTACGTCATAACATCTACCTGCATGCCAAATTTCAGCCTAATCCGTCCAGTGGTATGGGCTGTGCATTGATAGATCACTATGTCAGTCACCTTTGAGTTATATATATTTAGATATAACAATACAAATAATATATACTCGAACTTCACCAAAATATAAGACAATATCAATTTAATAATCCTTTAAAAATGAGGAAAGTACAGAAATCGGCTATTTCATACGGTTGCTACACATCAGAATTTCTTAAAAGTAAATTTAGCTGTTCTGTAAGATAACAGAACGAGGACAAAGTGATCTAAAAACGGAATACCTTTGTGTATAAAATCACTTTGTTGTTCTATCCCTTTTTCCCTATCGTTCATTATTGTTCCCAAAGAGAGTTTGAGTTATAGAAATTTGTATTATTATTTAATCTTAGTTTAAGTACCTATTACCTCTAATAGGTTATACAGAACACAGCGCGTCGATTGCAGCAAGGAATATTTTTTTTGGTGTCGCCAGAATAGAATCTACGTCATTTAGTTTATAAAGGAAGTTTCCTTTATAAACTAAATGTAGTTGTATGTAGTCTTCAGTTGAAGTGGAAACGCCACTACACATCCTATGTCCTATGGGCCGCCTGCGATGCTCCACGCCTCTATTAGAACAGACATCTCAAATTATATACTGAATCACTGGCAAGAAATGCCAGGATTGATACATTCAAAAGCCCTAAAATCGGGTTACTCGAACAAATACTCCAATAGACTACTGCTATTGAGTAAAAACAACATAATTACATGATGACTAGGGCCCTCACAAGACACTGCAAATTAAACAAGCATATGGCAAAAGTAGGATTATGCACGACAAAAATCTGCAGATTCTGCCAAACTGAAGAGGAAACGCCACTACACATCCTATGTGGTTGTAGCCCACTCATGTATAAACGAAATATCTCCTTTGGAAAGTTCACTCTTTCCCGAGGAGATAGAAACCATCGCTCCTAAGAATATCCTTCAATTCTTGTCCCTGACGGGTCTAGGTAGCGAACTCCGAAAAAGGGCAAGCACAATAGATCTATGTAGGTCTTAGTGTTACAGGTGCTACAGTCACTTGACAATAGCAGAAACAACCCAATAAAAAAAATAATTTATAAGCTGGGAAATAAACGACTACTATGTTCTCTATATCCCTCCTATTTTCTTATGATCATTTTAGAATTCTTCTATGCCTTCAAGAAAAGATTTTATTCCTTCTTTCTTAAAAGGCCGGCAACGAACTTGCGATTCCCCTGGTATTGCGGGTGCTCAGTGGCGGTAATCACTTACCATAAGGTGGTCCGAAAGCTCGTTTGCCCCTTAAGCTATAAAAAACCTTAGACATAACAAATAATCTTACGTGTTTGAACATTTTTACGTGATTAAAATTAATTTCAATTATTTAATCTAGTTGCGGTTCAACTAATCATAGAAATTTAATTAAAACTTTATTACAGAGACTGCATTTTGTTCTTTTTTAATATCATTCGATTTAAAACTTTTTACCCCATACATTACCAAGTGAGATTATCAGCTTATTAATACTAACTTATTTAACTAGATAAAACCTACGTTAATTAAAGTTGAACTTAACCTTGATTTTTTTTTATTGCAGTACTCGATTGATTATATATAACATCAGCTACTCGCCCCGGCTTCGCACGGGTGTACATGTATTATATATATAAACTTTCCTCTAGAATCTCTCTATGTATTAAAAAACACCTCTTCCGTAGAAATTTCCGTCAAAATCCGTTACGTACTTTTAAAGATTTAAGCATTCATAGGGACAGACAGCGACAGCGACTTTATTTTATAATATGTAATGATAAGTACTATACTTTTCAAAATTTGCTTGTATATATATGAAGTTTAATGGTCTTTCTTTTGTTTCAGGTTCCTCGCTATCTGGTGGCCATTGAAATGCCAGATCACTAAACGCCGCGCCAGAATGATGATAGTCTTCATCTGGATCTTCGCCATCCTCGTCACATCACCGTGGGTCTTCTTCTTCGATCTCGTGGTCGTATTCGACGACAACCCCAACGTGCGACTCTGCCTTGATGTCTGGCCAAACCCCCTCAGCGAAGTCCTATACTTCGTTTTAGGCAATCTAATCTTCTGTTACATTCTACCCATGGTCCTCATTACCATGTGCTACATTCTCATCTGGATCAAAGTATCAAGACGATCTATCCCCACGGACACACAAGATGCCCAAATGGAGAGAATGCAACAAAAGTCTAAGGTGAAGGTCGTCAAAATGCTCGTGGCAGTCGTTATCATCTTCGTACTCTCTTGGTGCCCCTTATATCTCATATTCGCCAGGATAAAGTTAGGAGGTCCAATTCAGAAATGGGAGGAAGACATATTTCCAATTATAACGCCTCTTGCCCAATGGCTCGGGTCTTCAAACTCTTGCATCAATCCCATTCTCTACGCATTCTTCAACAAGAAGTACAGGAAAGGCTTCGTAGCCATAATTAAGAGCAGAAAATGCTGCGGAAGACTGCGTTACTATGAGACTATCGCTTTGCAGTCATCGAGTACCTCGACAAGAAAATCTTGGCATTACAATAATAACAATCATGCCTCGATCACCCGTAGATCTCCTCCGATGGATAAAAACGCGGTTTCCTTCATCTTCAACCATACCGGAGTGTAAGGTTTACTGCATCAAATATTGGAACTGGTTTTTAGTCGAGCTTTCGACTCTGCATCTCACAACTGCCACAACGCGGTCCACGGATGCCTCTCAGCATATCGACACATACGACATTTTTTATGAATATAATAATTCTTTTGAGTTCGACAGTTTGATGTTGTCTCGTGCAAGAACCAACTTTACGAACTTCGTGACTAACCAATAACGTAGTATTTTATTAAGTGAACATAATCAATGAATGTTTTTACAGTAATGAGGTACTTGTAACTTTTATACGTAAGTCGGTTAAAGAGATGTAAGAAGATTTTATTTTTACACTAGTGTATGGAATAGCGAAGCGAAACGCACATTAAGCACAAACTTTTTATAACAAGAAGATAATTGTATTTGTTTTGAATTGATTTGTTTTAATTTATATTTCATTTTGTTCAACTAATTAATTGAATTGTAGTTGTATGTATTTTGATTAACAGTTTATAATAAAATTAATTCAATATCGAACTTCATGCAGTTGTAATGTGAATTTTATACAGTACAAAAAAATATTTTGTAGGTTGTAAGCTTTTTAAATATTAATATTATAAATAGAAATATATTTTTCATTGAAAGATATTCGAGACACTTCTTTTTGTACTAAGTACCAAATAAGCACTTCATTAAAGTCTAAATACATTCAAAATATCAATATAAGGTTTAGAGAATACAATATATTATATATTAGTTTTTGTGTGCTATGCTTACATTAGTTTTGAGTATATTTACGTATAACTTTTAATATAAGTAGTATATACTTATTTACAACATATAAAAGTATATATGATAGTAACAATAATTCATTAAATATATGTTATTTTCACGTATGTTTGTGTGTCTTTAATGCAAGTAGAACCAAAAATTGGTCAGGCCAAATTTCATACAAATGTGTAACTACTAGAAAAATTTTAAATTTACAACAATTCAAAACAGCACTTGCTTTGAATAATGGTAGTTTTTTGTCTATTTTACTGTATATTCATAATCGGTCTTTAGGATTGGTACAAAAAGTCACACTACATTCCCTATGATTATTTATAGGGAAAATATAATAAAATACCAATTTACAATACTTTATGTAGGAGTAGATACATTTAACGAAAGGTCACTAGTTCCTACATTTACTTCCTTATTTCCTTAAGATTTATTCATCTTTTCATTGTAGTTCCGTTATTTTTGCTCTTTTTAATTAATATCTGAATAGTACCAATTTACTATAGACTATCTATTTAGTATGTATCTTATTTATTTGTTAAATTCTCTATTGTTATAATTATGGTTCAATTTATTTTTTGTTCACTCTTAGTCTTCTACAAGGAGCTATATTAGGCCCAGTATTCATCAAAAAATTTGGAATCGTTGCTTTGTCTAACATTATATTAATTGTCCGTCCGTTTTATCGTTTTTTAACCAAAACCGTTGAAAAATCGTTACTAAATGCAAAATCAGTATGTTTTTTGTTATTTCTGCATTCAGTCTCCCAATGTTATGTGGCTCAAACTACAAAACGTTTTCTTGTAGAATTTATCATCATGCATAGGAACAAATATATTATTAAATAAAATATGGGCTTATTTAATATAGAACTCTGCTATTTTTATTATTATTATAAAATTATTTTCCACTTTACAATTAATAATTATACGTTTATATCTACAGTTTTATTTGTACATTCTTAAAAAATACTTATACATTCTCATACAATATTTATATTATATATACAATTAGCATTACAAAGCATATATCTAGTATAGTACCATAAACAGTACCTATATTAAAAGTGAGAATAGAAACATCTTTACTACTAAAATTAAGTTAGATTTAGAGATTGTGAGTGAAATCTTTAAATTTGAAGAAAACGTTACAAGTACTAAGTTGACTAATTCAACTTCTTATTAAGGTTAATATGGTCGCTGAGTTGATATTTTTAACGTCATTATGTTTACTAATCAACTAAGTTCATGGTCACGTAAAGATAGACATGATGAAAATAATGGAAATTATGTACTTATGAATTTCCTTTATTGAATCAAACTTATCGCTCTATTGTAAAAATGTGAGTACATTTTCTGATTGACAAAAACCTGGAATAGTGAAGCTCAATACAAAAATCTTAGTTAATATAAAAAGAGAGCATAAAAAGTTGTACAGAGTAGTTTACTATTTTTACTTCAAAATACATACTAAAAATATTCTAACAAGAACTAAACCATCGCCGTGGTCGTAGAGAAAGTAAATCCGTGATTACTGTGGTCAGAGTAATTATATTAGCGGTTACACCACCAAAATGAACCGTGGTAAACTGGTAAACATTGCCACAGAGTAAAATAATCCAAGATCACTGTAACCACAGAGAAAATAAATTAGATTTCTATTTCTAATATCACATAATAAAACGGTGGTAACAATTCACAGAGAAAGTTCCTGCTTCAGAAACTAAGTGCATTTTTAATTAAATACATATTTAATAGTTCAAAAATAATTAATAATTAATTGTTATATTTTATTAATTAATACATTTTTGTGAAAATAAAATGCTAATATGATTTCATGAAGTCAGCATGAGGTTGTTTGAACAAACAAAATCGTATAAATCACCTTCGTAACGGCAAGTTACTTGCTTGTAATCCATAGTAATACTACATATAAATGAGAAAGTAGATCATCTGTCTGTCTATTGAATTTCACGATTAAACGGCTGAACCGATTTTAATGAATTTGGCATGAAGATAGATCAGTAGTTCCCAAATAGTTTTTGCTGCGTACCACTTCAAAAAAGACCTCAAACCTTGCGTACCCCTTATTGTAGCAATCACACTAATATTATGAATGTTTGGTGAATGTTTGTGAGTATGTGTGTATGTTTGTTTTACTGATAGCCGCACATACCCCTTGATGCAACTTCACGTACCCCTGGGCGTACGCGTACCACTAATTGGGAGATACACAGATATATACAGATGGTATCAATATCAGACTATATCTGTCTTTTATTACAAAAAAATATTAAAAAAGGGGATGAATTAGGGGTTTCAGTTTGTGCAAACGAAGAGGGTAATAAGTTGTATAAAATATAATGATTATCCTAATAATTCTACGCAAATTACAATTATGTTTAAAGTAAGTAAGTTCTCGTTCATTTTGTCTTATTCTTTAAGGATGCGATTAAGAATTATAAAAATAATATTAAAAATTAGACAGCCTTGATGGTCTAGCACAACGGTCGTTGGTTCGATTCCTCGCACGGCACAAACATTTGTATTCATGAGTATGTTTGTTTGTGTCGGTCTGGATGTTTTCCATGTAAGAGGCAAAATGCGAAGAATATAGTCCAATTTACATTATATTACATGTATGTATTTACAAATGAAATAGTGATAGATTATTACTTATCATAACGAAGGTTTCGTTATAAAAATAAAATAAAATTTAATTCTTAGTACTTAATTAGTATTTTTCACTTCAAAGATTTCTCTCACAAACGGCACAAATTGAAAGCCGCTTAAAATGCACAAAAATGTTAGAATAAAATACTACTGCGATCAAACAGCTGTTGAGAGTCATAAAAATGTTTGAAACTTTACGTGTTGGGATAATTTAAAAAAAAAGATAAGACACGCCCATTCAAAACACCTGTGGGCCTGACCCTGTAATAATTCTTAACTTTTCGCTCAGAAAATAAATAAAAACGCACTTTAGTCGTAGAGTATATTCTAGAAATAAAAGTTGAAAATTTTTTTTTAATCCATAAACTCGTGTTAACTATAATAACATTTACAGTTATCGTAATGACAACTGAAATCATTGTTATTGATTTATTGTAAACTTAATGAAATAATTAATTAACAAACATTAAGGTATTTTAAAATTAAATTGCGTGTAACGACGTAATACTAAAGTTTATATAAAGTATCATACTCTAATCCGATAACATATATATAAATATAATAGATATGTAACCGTTTTATATAAGTATTTATTAAAATTTTAATACATTAATATACAAACAAAGTATCATATGACGGAATTAACACCTTGAGTTAAATCATAGAAAATAAAACCGTAAACCGTAAACTATTTTCGGACTACTATCAATCATTACTACTTAATATAAATACATCAATTTGTATTTAGAATTAAATAAGATAGAAATAGAAATACTTACAAAAAAAGAAATAATATTTCTGAATAGCGTTGCATTTGAAACTATGAGAACGATTTTCCAATTACAAAATAATATTTTCACGTGAAATATTTCAGCATGAATTGATTCAAACATTTTTATATCGTACGCGACGTGATCGCAGTTTAATATAATATAGCGATAGATAATTTAATATAATAAACTTTAATATTAAGTTAGATATAATTTGATAACAATCGCACGTAAATATAATATTGAAAATTCATAAATACTTATTCGAAATTTATAAAATATTTTTATACTTTATGATTTCAATTCTGAGAACTAAAATTATAAAATAAAACATTAGGAATTTTATGACTTAGTCTGTGTGATTATCGTTTTATTTTATTTTAATTATTTCGAACTGAATAATGTAGTGATTAAAATTATAATTTATCTTGGCGATGCAATAAATATTGGATGCGTTTTATTACTTTTGTGATAAAATACGAATATATCAAGACAAAGTCAAAGCTTGCAAGACTGACGGCGTGAAAGTCCTTCTAAAGGAATATAAGTGTGATAAAACGGATTTTTTAATTCTGCTATTACTATAACTTAAGGCTAAACCTAGCTTACTTACTAGATTTATAATTTACAAATTTAACTTTTATTCCAATATAATTTTATATTATATATAAAAATCAAGGTCGCTGTCAATTTGACATAAAATGTAATTTTGACAGTGCAGTTTGAAAATGTTGTGTCACTGTAAAAATATCCTTTTTAATAATAATGTAAATTAACATATATGTACCTACCTAGTGTTGTAGCAAATGTA